TTTTAGATAATTATCAGAAAAAAAGTGTTCTTAAAAGTAAAAAATTTCTTTTTTTGCTAAAATAGAAAACTAAAAATAGAAGTAATATGAGAGGAAAACAAAGTGCTTGTTAAATGTTCCCTTTTTGAAAATTGTTGTTTTTTTTCATTTTATCATTATTACAGCCTTACTTTTTCTGTCTTTTTATTTTCTAATTTTTGAAAAAAAAACACAATTAAAGTCAAAATTTTTGTTTCGGAACAGTCGGACATAAAGCGGGCAATATAGAGGAAGCATAAAGAAAGAAATGAATTGATTTTCTAAAACAGTAGTTTTATTCGTTTTTGTCTGTTCTTTTTGCTTATTACTTTTTTTTTCTATAATTTCCATCAGTTAATTGCCGCCTGACATCTACAGTCTTTAACTTTTATAGATGAATGCTGGAAGACTATCAACTGCCTGTTTTCCCATCGTTGTTTGCAGTTTTTATTGCATGCATATTAATTACATCATTGTACAGTACTAACAGCAGTCATAGAAGTTACTGATGGCGACAGTGATAGGAATGACGATTACTCGTTTTTTGTCTTCGGCATCTTGAATCTTCTTCATCTTATTATTTTTCTCTTTTCATTCTCTTGCACTACAGTTCTGTACTATTTATTATTCAAATTTACTGGTGCTTTCTGCTATATCGTACAAATGTTTTGAGCGATTTATTTAATTTTGTTACCAAAAAAATAGGAACGAACATTGAGATTGAGCTTAATGCAAGTATTGGTAATAAAGAGTATCACTGTTTATCGCAGTTTATGTGCCTATAAGTTTCTTAACTGAGACAAGGCTTCATCAAACTGCTGAGCTGACATCTAAAGAAGGAAAAAGCCGAACAGACAAAACTCGATAAACTACTCTCCTTTCAGCATAGTATGTTATAAATGCTATATCGCATACTTTTTCAGTTAAATAGGAGAGGTAGCAGAATAAAAGAAAGACCAAAACAAAAACAAAAGAGGTGAAGACTTTTATGTACGGTGTAGTTTTGCTAGGAGTCTTTACTTTTGGTTTCAAAATAGGTTTTTATAAACACCGCGTAGTCACCATCTCAAAAATTTCTGTTTAACCATAGCATAAAAAATTAAGTTGTGAAAAACAAGACAGTTTGTGCTTTTTTAATAGGTATCATTGAAGAACAGTACAATTTATTTGGCAGGAAAAATGAGAATTTTGAGCTTTTACTGTTGCAGTATTAAGTTTGCTTTCGTCTGAAGCTGGCGATAAGCATTAACTCGTAACCTAGTATAGTATTTCATTGTACAGCAGAGTCGAACTATTCCTAAATTTTTCTTCTTAATTCATCTCATAGCAGAAAAACTTTATCGTTCTTTTATGGTATCTTTTAAAAAAGCGTCAGCTAACCCGTTTTTCAAAACTTAATTTCTTATGTCATAGACGAGCAGAAAGTTTTAAAATGTGAATCGAGACAAAGAAAGTTTTAAGATTATTTTTTTTTTTTTTTTTTTTTTTTTTTTTTTTTTT